ACCTGTTTTTTGCTTTACCATTATGGTGTATGGAGTGTAGACTGATGTGGGAAAAAAGTAATTTAAAGCAATTTAACATACGGCAGCAACATAATTATAATTTATGAATACTTTCGCAAGATTTTATTTGTTTATTTTTTAATATTTAATTTTAGATTTTATTTTATACTATTTTATCAAAATCTAAAGAAAAGAAAAATAAATAATTAAATAAATAATATAAAATATTATATAAAATACACAAATTTAAAATTACATAAAAACAATTACATTAAATGTAAAAATAAGAAATTATATATTAAAAACTAAAAGAAAAAGAAAAAAGAAAAAGAAAACACACCATTGTGCATTTGAGCATGTTGCTCTAAGCAAGTGTACTGTGAGCTCAGTGCTCAGGGAACATCAAGAAAAGGAGGGAAAGGAGAAATTAATGAATAACTGTTTGGCTGAAGTAAATTTAAGAGATATTAGGGCAAGTAAACAGAGTAAAGTTGTGCTGGCGGCGTCTGAGTCTTTGATCAGCTATCCATTAATAACCAGAGAGCGCAGGCGGGTTACAAGTCACACACCAGCAGCAATATCTGCTTGCGTTTATGAACTTATGACAATATTAGATGTAAATAAGCGTCGATATGAAAGTGGGCAAATGAGGAAGATGGAGGCGCAGCACAATAGCAGCAGTTTTTGGAGCTCCTCCAGATCGTACTGCAAGTCTTTTGATATTCGCTCGTGTGTGTGTAACAGTTTGGGATTTGGCCAAAACACACATGGCTTGGTAATAGTTAACAGTCAGCAAACACAGAGAAAGAAAGCCTCATATCACACACAATCTGCCATTCATTCGCTTCTGAAAAAAAAAAAAGTTGCAAGGCAACGGCAACCTAGTTTTATGTTTCTGTCTGCACCAGTGTATGATGGACTGATATAAAAATATTCATTCGATTCGATCTTTTTCAGATCATCTGCATAACTGTGCCTGCTCTGCCAATTAACAAGAGTGTTTGTGTCAATGCCAAAAATGCACAGACAGTCTTGCCAAATGGAGAATAAAGTCACATTTTTGGTGAATTCTGAGTATATATTGTTTAAAATAACGCAACGATTTTATACACAGTATGGATTCAGCCACTGAAAAAAACTGATTTGTCATCCCAGATGTGGCATCAAAGTCAGGGTGGGACATGAGGGCATAAAGAGCAGCACCCCCCCCCAAAAAAAAAAATTAAAACATTAAATTACAAATTACAAATTAAATTAAATTAAATTAATTTAAATTCTGGATTATACCCCCCATTTCTATTTGGGATTTTTTTTTTTTAAGTTACTCAAGTGACACAAATAAATAAATAAAATTAAATAAATTACAGAAAATTAAATATGAAAAAACAATCATATGAAATAATAATAATTGAAATGAAATAATTGACTTAATATAAAAATTAAATAAAACATTAAATATGAAAATAAAAAATAATAAAATTCAAAAAATAAAACAAATATAAAAATAAAATAAAACAATGAAATAAAATATAAAATAAAATATGAAAAATAAAACAAAATATAAAATTATAAAATTAAAATATAAAAATAATTTAAATAAAATGAAATAAAATCATATAAAAATATAGTGCTGTCAAACAATTAATCGCGATTAATCGCATCCAAAATAAAAGTTTCTGTTTACATAATATGTGTGTGTACTGTGCACATTTATTATGTATATATAAATACACACACATACA